CACACACACACACACACACACACACACACACACACAAAGATGGACTATTTAAACAAACTGGAGAATTAAATTACATAATGGTATATTTTTAAATAATACTTTAAGGCTAGCATTGAAGTAAGTAAAACATGGAAACTTGAAATGATTCAAGTTACATGATGATTCATTAGTTGATTCAATACCTAACAGGATACACCTTAGATCAGTTGATAGCACACTAGCTAATCTATCAGTAAGACTGAGGATTGAATTCTGGTCACTACCACCACAGAAATATCTCTCCTCAGAGCTTCCCTAAAGATGGCATTAGATTAGCAGACAAAATGTAAGATAACAAAAACAAGTTAATAATTATAAAAAAACAAAAAAAACCTAAGCATTAACCATGACAACAATCAATATCCAATCTCCATAATATTACCATCCATATTGTTTCAATATTAATGTAGAGAGATTTAAAAACAAACAAGTTATATCCCACTGGTTATGTGAATATGTTTCTAATACACATAAAGAACAGTGGACCTGTTTTTTTATGGTAAATGGAAATTCCAACTTAAAACTAATTTCCAGAAGTTCTACCAACAAATGTCTTTTATATGTGGATAGCTGAGTTCCATCATTTATTTAACTAAAAAATTTATCTTTTGCTTTTAACTCTAGAAAAATTTTCTAATATTTGAGGTATCAAGATATTTCTTTTTTTGTTTTTCTTCATCAATGCTTACCACACACACACAGAGATAAACTAATGCTGGTGTGGTAACATGTACGTTGGTCATAATCTGTCCATTTTGTGTTTTGTTTGTTTCATCTGGATAGTAAATGTTTGTTATTACAGTGTGATTAATGGCTCTGTTGACTGATCAGTATTATTTACAAAAATCAGTATAATTTGCCTCTTCTGGTTTGAAGCACAAGTGATGGTCTTGAATGAAGAAATATTTCTTTGACAGTCACTCATGGGTAAGTTTCTTATAATAATCTATCACTAAGTAGTAGAGTTTGGCAACTAGTGGAATTTGCTAATCGATTAATCATTGCACTCATAAATTGATTATTCTCGTGAGACTTTGATAACTAGAATAAAAGTAGTAATAATCAGAAAGACCAATTTTGATTAGTTTATTGTTTTCATGAGTCCTGACACTTCTCTGTTA